GGGGGGGGTTTTGGGGGGTCCTCAGTGGGGCTGGACCAGGCCAAGGTGAGCCACGACCGCGTCTTCAACGTCTTCTGCCTCTACGGGAACGTCAGAAGGTGGGGAGGGGTCCTGGGGACTGTTTGGGGGGTCCTGCAGGAGGTGTCACCTGTCCCAGGTGTCCCTGACCCATGCCAGGTGTCCCTCACCTGTCCCTGACCTCTCACCTGTCCCAAGTGTCCCTCACCTGTCCCAGGTGTCCCTCACCTGTCCCTGACCCCTCACCTGTCCCAGGTGTCCCTCACCTGTCCCTGACCCCTCACCTGTCCCAAGTGTCCCTCACCTGTCCCTGACCCCTCACCTGTCCCAGGTGTCCCTCACCTGTCCCTGACCCCTCACCTGTCCCAGGTGTCCCTCACCTGTCCCTGACCCCTCACCTGTCCCAGGTGTCCCTCACCTGTCCCTGACCCCTCACCTGTCCCAGGTGTCCCTCACCTGTCCCTGACCCCTCACCTGTCCCAGGTGTCCCTCACCTGTCCCTGACCCCTCACCTGTCCCAGGTGTCCCTCACCTGTCCCTGACCCCTCACCTGTCCCAGGTGTCCCTCACCTGTCCCTGACCCCTCACCTGTCCCAGGTGTCCCTCACCTGTCCCTGACCCCTCACCTGTCCCAGGTGTCCCTCACCTGTCCCTGACCCCTCACCTGTCCCAGGTGTCCCTCACCTGTCCCTGACCCCTCACCTGTCCCAGGTGTCCCTCACCTGTCCCTGACCCCTCACCTGTCCCAGGTGTCCCTACCTGTCCCAGGTGTTTCTCACCTGTCCCAGGTGTCCCTCACCTGTCCCAGGTGTCCTCACCTGTCCCTGACCCCTCACCAGTCCCAGGTGTCCTCACCTGTCCCTGACCCCTCACCTGTCCCAGGTGTCCCTCACCTGTCCCAGGTGTCCTCACCTGTCCCAGGTGTCCCTCACCTGTCCCAGGTGTTTCTCACCTGTCCCAGGTGTTTCTCACCTGTCCCAGGTGTCCCTCACCTGTCCCAGGTGTCCCTCACCTGCCCCAGGTGTCCTCACCTGTCGGTCCCGGCAGGTGAAGTTCATGAAGAGCAAGCCGGGCGCGGCCATGGTGGAGATGGCCGATGGTTACGCGGTGGACAGAGCCATCACCCACCTCAACAACAACTTCATGTTCGGCCAGAAGCTCAATGTCTGGTGGGGCTGGGGGCTCGGGGGGGCTTTGGGGGGCTTTGGGGGGCTTTGGGGT